CACTCTGAATCCTTGATTAAACTCTCTGGCATCTATCAGTCTATAGATTTTTTTGTTTCCTTTTTATTTAATTCTTGTTTGCTTGCTTACCTATTTCCCAAGGTAAACTGCTTGTCTCATATCATGCATGCTATTTTCTTTCTTATGAAAAGATAGATACTCTTGCTTCTTTCTTGTATTTTTTCAAATAAATATATTTAATGAATGGAAAAAGTCCCAAATATTTTTGCCTTCATACAAAAGGAGCTAATAAATATTGCTCAGTAGACCTAGATTGTATTTTAACATCTTGCACCAACACCTTGACTTTGGGCAATCTCTCCACTGATTTGTCTTTCAGTTTCCTCATTTGTAAAAAAATGGGCTAGTATCATACCTCCCTCATGAATGTTTTTGTGTTTTTTAAACTAATACTTAAATAAACACATTGAGCCACATCTAGTACATTCTATGTACTCCATAAATGTTAACTTTTCTTACCTCTTATTAGATCACTTTCCTAAATAGCTCATATTAGGTATTTAAGTATTTCATGTCTGTCTCACATATCATCCTAATACTCAGAGGTTTTGAATAAGGATATACGTAGAATTTCAAGAATTATTTAAATTTTTTTGTCTGGCTGTTGATTTTCTAACTTCAGTTTATTTTGTCTGGTTCGTTTTTGATAGCTATGAACTAGAATTTTTTTTTTTTAATCTCAAAAGTCCAATTCCACAAGTTTTATGATTAATTTCATTTTAGAACCTATGTAACCCAGGGAAATGGTTACATGATTTTGTAATTGCTAAATATCCCTTAATATGTCAAATTAATATTAACATATGCAAGAAAATCTAAATATTGACATATAAATTCATAAAGCAGTAAGATTTGTACTTTGTTAGGGTTTATGGAGCATATGTTTTATTATAGAATTGTTTGGAAAGTAATCTACCGAGGATATACCCCTTTATTTTTCAGATGAGATTTATTGTGTGATAAGCATTTTTATGGAACCATATCACTTCTTAATTCTAAGTAATTAGCATCGTGCAATTTTACATTTAGTCCCCAATCATTTTAAATAGTTTATTTTATCTCACATTTCTACTTTTCCTTTTTCTGACTTTTCATTTCAATGGCTGGGCAGAAATCCAAGAGTAGTTAAGCAGAACTATTTAGTTCTACTTGAGTCAAAATTCAAGTGCAACTTCATAAATAAGACTCCTTGGATCCAAGCATCCTCCAATATCTAGCCCTTAGGTTGTTGATTTCCCTAGAGAGCTAGATCAAGTAGGAAACTTACAAAGCAAATAACCTGAGTCTGAGGATGCATGCTTAGCATTATGTCTACCATTTTTCTACTATATAAACATAATTTTTAAAAAATGAATAAAAGATTATTAATTAAAATGATATTTAGCCATATTAGCACTTATGTTAGTAAGCCTGATATGAAGTGGTTAAAAGAAGGAGAGTGTTCTGTCAAAAACACCACACATTTTTGGAAGAACCACTACTTTCATCCAGACTGACAGTTCTGAAATGATTCAGTTTCTAAGATGAGGCATGTTCTGCCATATTTTATAAGGGTGGATAGCAGTGTAATCTGAGATTTTCTGATAGTTGCAGCAGGAAACCTTGAAAATGATGAATAAGTTTCAATTTTAGGACCTTCAAATTTCAGATATAAAAAAGATTTTCTTACAGTAACCAAAAATGAACAGTTTCTTAAAGATAGGTTAATGTCAATCAACTTTAGATGATAAACTGGTCAGAAAACCTATTGATTATATTTTAAAGTATGCTATCCTTTTCATGAGACAAGACTTTTCACATCTCCTAAATAGTTCAGTTATCCTCAGGCTCAGGTGTCTGGGGGAAGGGATATTTTAAGACAGTATTTTCCTGGCATGAATTCAATTCAATGACAGTAGAATAATTTCACTGTAGGGTGGCTTCATGCTTTGGGAAAGCCAATATGACTCTTTCTCACTATGATGCAGTGTCTGGATTTAGTGTCGTAGAATAAGCTTTGCTTTCTACCTGTACCCATTTCTTGTTTACTTGTTTTCATGTTGAACTTTCTTAATTAATATAGAGTTATTATTAGACAAATCAATGTACAATGGACAAATCCTTGTTTTAATCACATAATTACGAGTGATATATTCTGACTCCTTTCAGGTGTTATTTTCTACTAACAAGCTAGATTTCTTAGGATGCTCTTTAATCTCATTTTGCATTGTGCTATTAATACCTTCTGCCATGTGTGTGCATGTGCATCCACAGGTGGTTAGAAGATTTCACACTTCAGCAATATGTTCTCCATACCCCTTTCACACATTATGCCTATGAGAGTCATGGAGTTGACTTGCAATTACACTCACATTCTGTTTTAGAAAGTATGATGTATTTTGTAATATTTCCATTACTGCAAACATCTATCCTACATTTCTTCCCAATTTTTTGCCTTCTCCTTATCCTAAAATGGAATAAGTGTCCCTGAAATTTTCAGTAGGAAATCTCTACATTTCTTTTCTGCAATTGAATACTTTTCACCTTTTTATGAGTCTCATCATTTTTGATAGTCCCTTCTTTTAAAAATATCGCTCCCTTCCACAAAGACAATGCTTCATATTTCCCTTATTGAAAAAACTTATTGCACCTACTTCTCTACTGAGATGAAGTTCTTCCCCCACTCCAATGTTCATTTAGAAAAAGATATCAATCAATAGTCCTAATTCATGAGTTTTATATATTCACATTCAATATACACTTACATCCACTATAATAAAACTCCTGACCTTTGATATCTTACCAAAATTACTTTTGTCAAGATAACTAACACTGACCATTTTGCCAAATCCAATCAACTCGACTAACCTCACGCAATCCCTTAGCAGAATTCACGATAGTTGTTTACTGCTTCCTAGTGAGCGGTTTCTTTCTTGGCTTCCATGCCACCTCACTTTTCTGTTCTCCTCCTCTTTAGGGCTGCCCCTCTCCTTTGGCCATCACCTTCTCTTATGCAGATGCTGAGCTGCTCTAGACTCAAACATTTTGGTGACTTAGTGCTCAATATTTAATTTCTTTTCTCTTACAATTATTTTCCAGATAAGATTATGCTGTTCCCATTACCTTATGTTTATAGTGATTTATCTCAAATTCATATTTCCTATTTAGAAAGCACCTTTGAAATCCATACCCATATTTGATCTCTGCTCTTCATTCCACATGTGTATATAAGGCATACTAGGTCAGAATTATTGGATGCTCCTAAGCTGTTTTTCCTTTAAGCTTAGTAAATGGACCTATCTCAATAAATGGGCCTATCAATTACATAGTAGATTAAACAAACACTTGTGCACTTACAAATGGATTTATCTGTGATTCTTCTTCTTTACAAATAGCACTTCAACAAAAAGTTATATAAATTATATTTAATACATAACACCGCTTTATACACTTTTTTCCATCTTTTATTTGTCCATCTTTGCCTAAGATGACATCATTTCTTTTCTGAATAGTTTTTAAATTTCTACAATCCAAGATCCAATGTAGGCACTGTGATTTTTACAGAACATAAACAGATCTTTTCTTTCTTTTATCTAAAATTTCTCCCATATTGCATTTACAAAGACTAAAAACCCTTTATGTTGTCCTAACTCCTGACCATCCTCCTCATTCACTCTGTATAGCCATACTGACATACATTAGTCTTTTAACCAGTTTAAACTTTTCCTTTAGTTTGGATCTTTGCACCTAGGTACCCTCTATTTCAAATGTTATTCAAATGTTCTTCCTCTAGCAATTCTTACATAACCAATTTATTTTATCTTTTAGGTCTAGATAAAAACATTACTTAAGATTTAGAAAGAGAAAAAAATATTAAAGATTCTAGGAAATAACATCTCTCTCCATAAATACTTTTATAAATAGTCAGAAAATTTTCCAGAACATATGATAATTATTTACTATAATTATGTATTCACAGGCATGTTAATTAGTTATTGCTAAAAATCACATAACCCCAAAACTCAGGACTATAAAAAAAAACAAAACACCTTTTATAACTATGGTGTATCTGTCTGTGGATGAGCTGAGGGCCAGCTGAGTTATTCTGGCTTTTGTTTGTCAGCTCTGATCATTTCTGGTACCCTCAATTGTGTATCTGTACATCTACTAGATAGCTTTACTCTAGGCTGGGGCAACTTAATTGGGACAATTTTGGCTTCTTCCTCCTGCTGGGACAGGTGGGTTACTCAGGCATATTCTTCTTATTTCAGTGGCATGAGAGGAAACATACAAAATCTCAGAAAACCTAGGCCTAGAAAGAAGACACCACCACTTTCAACTAATTCTGTTACCAAAGTAACCTGGAGACCAAATAATGTGAGGGAACATTGCAAAATTACATGAACTGAGAAGGGAACAAGAATTGAGGCCAATAATTCAACTACCTCAGTTTATTTTTTTATCACATTTTTTGATAAAAACAAAGTGATGTTTTAATGGTAATAGATACAAGTGATTTTGTTTTTATTTTATATATATCTTTAAACCTCAACTGTAACCTAGATATATTTATTCCTGACATCTCCAATGATTCTAAATTTTTTGTACATACAACAAGAGGTTTTGCAATAGAATTATTTTTTTTGTCTTCCATATACTATAGACTTCTCAGTGGTGGATTTTAGTCTCTACATTATTAACCACTAATTTTCAACTACCTACTTTTATTCATGAAATTTGGCATGATATTTCAAAATTAGTTTTTAAATTAGAAATTGAACTAAGCATTATTTAATGACTTCCAGATGAAAATAACTGATGTTCATTCTGTATGAATCAACAGGCAAGTATCCATGTAATCTTGAGTCAAATATAAAAATTAAAAATACATGTTTAAATATTTTAATGTATTTGGTATAATATCTCTGTTGGTTTAGTTGCATTTTCTTCATCATAGAATCCAATAAAAATAAAAATTACCTTTTATAAAAATTTTCTAGATATTTCATCAACTACAATGCTGAAGAGGACAGATTTTTCAACATTGATGCCAATACTGGAACCATCAAGACAACAAGGGTTCTTGACAGAGAAGAAACTCCTTGGTACAACATCACAGTTGCTGCTTCAGAAAATGGTAAACTACTTTACTTTGTGTATCACAGGAAAAGATTTCACTTGTACATTAAGACTTATATTGAGATTTCTTTGAGAGCAGAGATTTCAGCATTTTTATTTTTGTCAGAATCTCCAGAGTTTAGAGAATATATTAGATACAGTTACTCATTATTAGATGCAGTGATTAAATGGCATACCTTTTTTCTTTCATTAATCGCAGCATAGTGATAGATATTGGCATCACAGAAACCTTAGCCCCCATCTCTAAAGCAGGGGCACTTTGATTTTCTCCTAATATGAGACTACTAATATAAGACCTTCCTTAAGGCAACAGGTTATTGGAAGAAGGGAGCTGCATATGTGATAGCTTATTTTTAAAAAAGAATGAAAACATGTAATTGAACTTGAATTATTTTATTAACATAATACCACTCTTTAATTTTCACCTAACATTTATAGACCTTATAGTAAAATAATAGCTCTTGGAATTTGTACAACCAAGTCTTAACTCTCTTCAAGAGAAGTATATGCTATAAAGCTGAGGAAGACTCTTGTACCACTGTCATCCAGAAGGCTGTGTTGTGGTAAACATCTAAACTCAGAAAAAAAAATAATATCAATAATTATTTCTGAGTTAATACAGACAGATATGACTATGTTCAAATGAAATTAGAATACAATATTTAAAAAATGGATCCACTGTCATGACAATAAAGGTTTTCTTTATATATCGGTAAGTAAATCAAAGTTAGTAATGACTCTCACTTTAGAATTATAGGCAGAAATTATATATACATTTAGGAAAAGTGTCAATGTATTCATGAAAGAATCATAAATATATTAGAAATTAAGAATGCGAGCTGGGCTTGGTGGCTCAGCCTGTAATCCCGCACCTTGGGAGGCTGAGGTGAGTGGATTCCCTGAGCCCGCGGGTTCGAGACCCGCCCGGGCAACTTGGCGAGACCTCATCTCCACAATAAATCAAAAACTTAGCCGGGCGTGGCAGCGCGCGCCTGTAGTTCCAGCTACCATGAAGGCTGAGGTGGAAGGATCGCTGGAGCTCAGCAGTTCGAGGTTGTGGTGGCCGGGAGCGGCCACTGCACTCCAGTCTGGGTGACAGAGTGAGACTCCAACTCAAAAAAAAAAAGAAAAAAAGAAAAAAAGAAATTAAGAATGCATCACGCTAGACAATAATGCAATCAAAATGAAATTATATTTTTATTCTTGAAAGTATAGAACATGATAAATTTCTTAACTGATTCTTTGAGATATAATTCAATAATATAGAATATTTTGTAAATGCATAATTCAATGACTACTAGTATATTCACAGAGTTGTACTACCATCATCATAGTGAATTTTAGAAACATTTCAATTACTCCAAAAAGGAATCTTGCACCTTTTAGTCATCATTCCCCTGTGGAAGCCATTAATTTTTCTGTCTTCCTTAGATTTGCCTGTTATTGATATTTTATATAAAATAATCATATAATATGTGATCCTTTATGACTAGTTTATTTCACTTAGCATTATGTTTTCAAGGTACATTTATACTATAGTATGTGTCACCAGTGCCTCTTTCTTTTTAATTGCCAAATTTTTTTTTGTATAGATAAATTGCATTTTATTTATCCGTTCATCACTTGATATATATGTCATGTCCACTTTTTGCCTAAGATGAATAATCTTACTATGAGCATTAATGTGAAGGTATTTGTGCACAAATGTTTTCATTTCACTTGGGTATATCCCTAAGAGTGGGATTGCTGGGTAACTCTTATAGTAACTTTATGCTTAGTCATTTGATTCACTGCCAGAATGTTTTCCAACATGGCTGCACTGTTTCACCTTCCCAACAGCAGCGAGGATCCAAGATCTTCAGATTCTCACCAACAATTGTGCTGTCTTACTGATGATAGCCATTCTAGTGGGTGTGAGGTGATACAGCATTGTGGTTTAGATTGACCTTTCTTACATAATAATCATCAAGCTACTCTAGACTTTTCTATTCTAACTTGGATTTTTCACATTTTTGGCATCTGCAAAATCAGCTCAAGTGGCTTCCATTTAGATTATTTTTTCAACATAATACTCTCTTTAAAAATAAGCATTTGCTTATTTACTTAATTTACTTAATTACTTTTAAGAGGGTATTATAACAAATCCATTAGTGTGTTCATTTGTGATCATTCTGGTTTACTTTCATTTTAAAAAAGTAATCAGAGTAGGCATGCAATTGTTTGTTCTTAGTCACCCAAGGACAAATTAAATGGTTTTTAAATAATAAGAATTTATTGCAATCAGTTGAAAAATTAAGAAATTCGTGAATTAAAATACACAAGAAGAAACTGATGAGGACATAGAGCAAATACTTTAGAAAAGAAAATCTGCCTTCAAGGTATTTCCCTCAGAAGCTATGCTTTAGTTCTCATTCACCACTTCAGTCTGAATAAGATTTGCATCTAATAGAAATTAATGTAGAAATATACATAGTTCATATACTACGAAAACTATATCTTCTGAAATAATGACTAAGAAAATGCCAGTTTGTTATTTTTTTTACTAAAATGACATCTGAATTATGCACTTCTTGGGTAGAAAATATGCTTATATGATATATGTTTACAATGTGCTAATACTACATGGAGAAGAGTTTAACTACATCTACTAAGTAAAACAATGCAGTAAATTATAATTTTCTTAATTTTTAGGTGGTACTATAAACTCTTGGTGACTACTTCAATGGGCATTACTAAAACATAATTTAGTTATAATTGCAAACAATTGCATAGAAAGAATGAGCACTGGTTAAGGTTGTATAGCCATGTTGGGAGACTGTATTCAGAAGATTCACATGCATGTACTGATTATTTGACCTAATTTCCTGTTAATATCTTCGGCAGCCCCTTCTATACACAGTTACTTGTAAACCTTAATCTCAACATCAGCCACATTATCAAAATATTTTCTGATCTTTTCTGTTTTAGAAATGAAATTTTTGGTTTTACAAGTTGGATTTTTAAAAATCTTCTTAAGATAACAATTTTTAAAGAGCCAGTTCTTTTGTGAAATGACATTTAGTATATATTGTTTGGAAGTCCTTTTCTTTGCTTATCTAGAGGTTTGTGCAAAGAAGACAAAGATGGTCCCTATGACCAGCTGAGGCAATGCACCAGGATTTAAGAGTAAATGAGAGCAAAGTTACTCCCATGTAAAAGAAAAAATGGTGCTCTTCCTCTTGGTGAATAGGTCTTGTGTCAAGGATCCAGTGTCACAATTGACTATGCAAGTGAACAGGTGGGACCCAGATGCAATGCAGCTGTTTACTATATGGTGTTTGACTCTGATATCTTCAACCCTATGGTCCCAGCTCAGAGTGATTACTTGACTTCCCAGTCACATAGTAAAGGCAGGTAATATCTCTCAGGACTATGATATCTCACTGCTACTACTGAACATAACTATCAACTATCTTGCTATGTGGTATACTTTTACAGACATGCCATCCTAACAAATATCTCTGCATAATTGAGACATCGTATTATCCCCATTTTATAGGTGAGGAAACTGAGGCTGATATAAAATATGAACCTAAATATTCCCATTCCTAAGTCTGTGCTCATTTTCATATGACCCTCTAGGGAAGTTGATGTCCATTGTTCAGGTATTTTAGTTAAGTGAGGTTTATTTTACTTTTAATTTTAAAAATGTAAATTTACTTTTATCTTTGTAAAGAAAGCATCAAAAACCAGATAAATTCTATATGTTGTATATGGTCAGGGCACTAGAAAGTGTTATATTGCCATTACATGCCACAGTTTTTATAGAACACTATTTTCTTTGCTTGTAGTTTAATTATTATTTTTATTTTAAAGATGTGGGGTACAATTTAGGGCTAGGTACATAAGTGATCATCACACAGGTATACTTTGGGTACCCTTATTGATGTTATGTGCCCCTCCTTCATCCCCTGGCAGTGACCCACTATTTTCAATTCCTTAGAGCACTACTTTCTAAACAAATGCTTGCAGAATATTTCCCATGTGAGTAGCAACATCTCCCCTTTATATAATCCATAATACAACTATTTAGTAACTTGCATTACTTTTCTATTGTTGTTTCCTATGGGTCAGGAGTCCAGGTGGCTTCAACTGGGTTCTCTACTTAAGGTCTCACAAAGCTGAAAACCTGTGTCATACGAGTTGGGCTCTTATCAGTGCTTCTGTCATTCTTATGGGGTAATAAACTTTCTCTCAAACATACATGCCTTGACTCAATTTTCCTTTTGTGTATCCCTAGTGTAAGGCATCTTTTTATTTTCACTGTTCTTTAGAAGTTGCTGTATGCTCATCACTGATTGATTGCCTAATAGTCAAACCAAATCGGTACTTACCTTTTTTCTTCACCTGATTCCTTTGTGACATTTGATTATATTAATTATTCTTTTCCTTCTTAGAATGTTTTAAATTCCTTAGCTGTCACCCAGTACTTTGGTATGGGATGGTGTATTTTATTATCTCAGTCCTAAAAATAAGCTCTAATTAACTCACACAGAATATTTTCACAAATAATACATGCTAGACAGTGTGGTATTTTGGACAAAAGTATATAGAAAATATTATATTGCCTTTGAGAAATTTAAAATTCTACTGCATAAGAGAAGGTAAGCTGATGATTGCATTATGGAAAATTACTGTGGCAACAGGATTCTTTAGGGACTAGAGAAATGCAAAACTGTGGTAGTTTAATCTCTCTAAGAGGATCAGTGAAGACTTCATAGAGGGGATAATGCCTGGAATAAGTCTTGAGGTGATGCATGAGTAAAGGTTGGCCTGAATATTCTGTTTTGATTCTAATGTACCCATGGAAGTATATTAGTCGGTATTATTTAGAGAAAATCGTGTGTGTAGGATGTCTAGATATATACATATATAGAGACAGACAGACATACAAAGATAGTGAGATGAAAGAGAGAGTGAAGTGAAGGAGGAATAGATTTATTATAAAAATTGTCCCAC